GAGAGAGAGAGAGAGAGCTAAATAATGCATGAGGTCATTAGGCCAGATCTGTACTCATTCCTGCTTCTGACACGCAAAGCCAAGTTGGAGCTTTAGGCTTCTACTGAATGTCTCACTCTTGAATGATATACAAAGTGTGTGTGTACGTCGTTCGGCAGCATCAATCAAATCTGTAATTGCGATATTAATGCGAGTTATTACTCATGTCTCATGCGTTACAGTGGCAAAAAGCCTAAGGATAAAAGAGTAACACTGGGATTTCTGATCAGCTTATGGTCCTGCTCCGTGACGGGCAACTAACTTTTGACTTTCCCCCCCCCCATCGGGTAGAATTGATGTGCTTGCAAATTGTAACTGTTTCACCAACTAGAGAATCTTTTCTTTTGAATAGTGCACAGCAGCAAGAGGACATTATTATGCGCTGCCACCGACTGTATTAGGTGAAACAACTTGGAGTCCAGCAACTTTTGGAGCAACTGCTGAACTTCTCAGGTGGCAAACACATTTGTTGCTTCCTGCATAAAAGGAGCAGCATGACGTTAAGAACTCACTGAGCATTGAGACGTTTTTATTTGAAGTTTTCCGTGTTGGTCAGATTTACTCTTTCCACATTTTCTCCAAACTTTTCAACATGGTCAGCCGCTATTAGGATGTGCCTTCAGTCCAATACATTCAAGTCTAGGTAAACTAACGCATGAAACTTACACCAGCTTTGGTAAGTTAACATAAAAAGTTATGAAACTATTATTTCAAAAGCACTTACTCTGAAAAATAGTAACAAAAGAAAAGTATTCCACCATTCAATAAATCAGATCGTAACGGAAGTTATCTCAGGGCACGTAACAATTGCATATAGAGAAGGTGCAGACCGTAATCTTTATATTTGCTATTTACAGAGACCCAACAATTCAAACTACGAGTAAGCATTTGGCGACAGTGGCGAAGAAAAACTTCCTTTTAACAGGCAGAAACCTCGAGCAGAAGCAGGCTCTGGGTGGGCGGCCAGCTGCAAGCATAAACAGATCTGAAATGCTGGAAATAAAATATAATTGTATTCTAAAAAGGGCCTGTGTAATGGATGCAAGATCTCTGTTTGGCGAGGACTTAACAGTAGAAAAGAATTAACCTAATTCATAATAAACCCACTGAAACGAGGGAAACAGTAGCCAAGAGGGTGTAACTGTTTATGTAGATAGTTACTTTAACAAGGATATTTAATATATTGGTTTGATCTTTATCAAGCTGGCACTCTGCAATGTTTCAGAAATTGTCACGGCGCAGTTTATAATACTAAACATCACAGACTGGTCTTCCAGACTGCAACGACTTATTCAGCATTTATTCACACGGACAACAAGCACTGGTTTTACTACTTAAAATATTAAGCCTTGGGATGTGAATGTCTGTCATGTCATTCATTTCACACAACAGGGCCAACTTTCCTCTATTTGGTAATTATTTCAATTTGATTATGCACTAAAGAATCCAATATTTACAAAGACATAACTGATGACTCCGTCGTCAAAACTGTTATTTTTAGAATCGTATCTTTGTAATGTGGATAATGTTGTTTTGTTAGATGCACTTGAATTGCATAAAAGAACAGATTAAAAAAAAACAACTTCCTACTTTAGTTTCTGGATTTACTTGCATTTCTAGATTACTTCAATACTTAGAGTTTTGGTCTTAATTACATATATATTACAACTATCACTTTTACATTACTTTTCATTTATTCCACTTGTGTTTTACTTCCATTAAAAAACATTTACCGTGACAGTTATCATGTCATAATGTATATCATGACTGCAATCTTGGGACATCTATTTAACTTGAACAGGGGCCGACACGTTAGCAGTTGCCATTGAAGTAGTTAAAAAAAAAAAAAAAAAAAAAAAAAAAAAAAGGACAAGGAAGATCAAGGAACATGGACAATCACAGTCTGTGAATGTATTCCATGTGAAGTGGGGAGCTACCGAGGGTAATAAGAAAGCTCATCTCAGCCACATGACTAGTATGAGAAGGAATAAGCTCGCAAATCTCTTGAACGTGAGCAACTTCTACCAAAGCATTATGGCCGCCACATTAGTTTATACAAAATATTTTCCATCTCTTGGGTTGTCAGGGGCGTTTATTGAATGTCTCTCCCTCAAAGCAGTGGGAGCCTTGAACACGGGTGACGTCATAGCTTTGTCCTTGGTTAAACCACAACATAATTCATAACAAGTACAAAAATGCCAGTTCATCGTGGTAACCTTGAATATTTTTCCACATTGAACGTCTCCCAAATATAAAGCAACTGTCTTTGCAGCAGCACAATTTCCCTCTGGATTCTGAGATCTTCTCAACGTTGTTATTGAGGGCGTCACATGGTAGGCATGTTTTCACTCGGCCATGTATCCATTACACATCGCTACACGTATAGTTGAGAGGACGATCATCTTTTTGCCCTCTGCGTGACCGTCAGACAGAGAGAGGAAGTGCCAGCCCACGTGAGTTTAAGAGGAAAGGGGGACGCGAGGGAGAAGCAGGCCGGAGAGAGGGGCGGGGCTTATGGGATGCTGAAGTGATGAGAGTAAAAACGGATATGGATATGAACATTGATACAGTGAGTAGGGGAGGGGTGACTTCTTTGTCGCTGCGACTTTCTGCATCACAAGCCGTGCCCTGGCCGGCTGTTGCAGATGTGAGAGAGAGCGAGCACTCGGCAGTGGCCCAGAGAGAAGCAACTTAAACACAAACAGCCTGTTTTTGTTATCTAAAAAGGACGGCTAAAAATACACAATCAGAAGCCACTTCAATTACTGGCTAAATATAAATAAAAGTCTCATCTCTGACAGCTTCTCATTTTGAGAAGTATCGGAGGGGAAGGCCGTTCGCGTAGGAATCACATCTTTAGTATGATTTATCTGCGTTGGTGTTGATTTCCTCCCTTTTTTGAAATGAAGAAGCTCATTTTGGTGTGAGAACATCACTTGTGACACAGTGAGTAATAACAATGAAGACCAGGACAGTTATTCTGTTTTGGGGGTTTATAAGAGACATTGGATTAATCTGATGATTATTTCCTCAGTTTAACCTTAAAAATGTCAGAAAATAGGGGGAAACTTACCGTTTCCTGAAACCCCAATATCTTGTTTTGTACAACCAACAATGCAAAACCCAAATATATTCAATGACAATGATAAGAAACTGAAAAAAAGCAGCAAATCCCCACAAGTGAGAAGCTGGAACTAGGAAATGTTGAATAGTTTGACTTTGCTTATTCAATACTCAAAATAGTTGCCAGTTTATTTTTCTGCCTTTGAACTGATCATTTCAGCTCTAATAAAAGTATTAACAGACAGAAGTTGAGAGAAGAATTGACCACGTAGTGTAAAATTGCTCTGCAACTGAATACCCTTAACAAAAGAGGGAATTGATGGAATCTATCAGATAAATAAAGGAACAAAAAGAGGGGAAAATGATGTGTACTGGAAGTCTGGGGTTTGGGAGTCTGAGAGACACAGCGGCAGCGGTTGATGAGCAAGACATGAGGCCTGCTGTAATTATGTGCAGCACCGCAAACTGACTGGAGCTTGACATTGTAACTGGGTGGTGAAAGCTGCAAAATAAAGACATTACTCTAATTTTGGTGGCATAGCTGGATGAGAGACTAGGGAGTTTCCTTTTCTTTTTTACCCAGTAATCTAGTTGAGGGAGAACAAGTGCTACTTCGCATGCAGTGGAGCACTGACTCATCTTTTCCTCCTTTGATTTATCACATCATGGCTGAAATGACATATGTGCGTCTTGTAATCTAGGGACTGACATTAGAACTGGTCCCGGGTTAGATTTAAAGACACGACACCATCTGTAGACGCCTTAATGCCAAATGTTTGATAAGTCATCAATTCAGTAGATTAATGCTCTAGTGCGGTCTGAACTAAATTTAAATGAACGTGTCTGAAAGAGACACTCTTGTCATATAACAGAATATCTTTAATAACCTGCACTACATAAAAGGTCCAGTGATTAAATATTTATTATTGAACACCTGGCTGATTCTTTACTCTGGTGGAGTTGGAGGAATATCCCACCAAAGTTTGCATAAATTGACACAACCTGTGTCACTTTCTCAGTGTAAATTGTTTGCACCATCTGCACCCCAAAAGAAAGTATCTAACTTGCAGCTTCTAATTAATTGACATCACGTCAATCAGTGTGGAAATGAAGTCTCAACTACAGATGGTGTGAACCTGAGGGATATAGAGTCGAGACATGTTAAGTGCTAATGTGAGAAACGGTAACGCGTCGTGCCGATGATCTTGTACGGTTAACGTAGTCTTTAGAATATGCCAATTCACGGATCTGT